GCCACAGCTGCAAGGATGCTGCCTGCCTCTGACTTCTGTTACTCTGCAGACAGAGGTAAGAGAAGGAAAATGTCAACCTCAGGACCCTAACCACCCCAGAGGAGAACTACAGGGAAATGCTTCACGTCTGACATCATGACAGCACTGGAGCCCAGTCTGGATCATTTTTACACAAAATTGAATTAATTTTCCACTCCTAGGTTATGGGGTGTGAAATTTAAAGGACTCTATGCTATCCAGCCACAAAAAGTGTTCATGAAAAAGGTGGATATCCAGTTGGCAGGAATGTCCTTTCCGTTCTTTCAGCAGGCCTGTATTGTATACTTTACTCTGCCAGGGACCTACAATATGAAGATGAATAGGACACGGTCTTTGCCTCCAGGGAGCTCAGAGTCTAGGAGGACACTTCAGGACAGCTGCCAGGAGAAACCTATGTAGGTTATTAAAAGGCTTTATGACAGCCAGGGAGGGAGGATGGTGTGTGGCATTCCACACAGAGGAAACCGCAAGGACAGAGGCACAGAAGCAAGAAACTGGTGGCATGTGCAGCATGTTCCTGTAGTATCGGAAAGGGAGAGCTTCATGTAGGTAACCTTTTAGGGACCTTTCAATCCAGACATTCTGTGATTCTCTGCCTGCTCACGGTGGTCATTTAATCTTGTAGGCTTATTTTGGACCATTGTTTTTCTTCTTGGTGGGTGTTTTTATAGCCTGCAAGATGTATATGTTAAGTACTCATTGCTTCCTGGGCTCCCTCTAGCCCACTGTAACTGAGGGAGGTTGTTTGCCACTACCCCTTAAAGCTGGCTGGACACATGTTTCCATTTCAGGTTATTAAGGACAGTTCTTAGGTGGCCAGGTTATCAAAATACATGAACAGTAAATGTTGCTTCCTGGGTTCTATCGCTCTATTAAGAGATCAGAAATACCATCAAGTCAAAAAGCCTCCATTCTACGGTAACACTTTTTCCATTCACGTCAGTTAGTCTCTTCACTTAGGGTTTCCAGCTCCTAGAGAGCCTTCCCAAAATGTGCTCCTTCACCATCTCTTCCTATTTATTTACTTTTGAAGTTTTATTTAAGTGATCTCTACACCCCACGTGGGGCTTGAACTCACGGCCAGAGATGGAGTCATAAGCTCTTGTGACTGAGCCAACTAGGCACCGCCATCCCTTCCTATTTAGAAGTACACAGAAGGTTTCTTACTTAGGACCTGCATCTAATACCTCCCCCTGTATTTAAGTGGTCAAGAATTTGATCTCCTGTCAGACTTCCTGAGTTCAAATGCCAGTTTTTCCACTTACTGGTTGTGTGACTTTGGGCAAATTTACCCAAGCCCTCTATTTCAGTTTCCTCATTTGCAAAATGAAAATAACACCAATTTAATGCGATGTTTGTGAGAGTAAGGTGATAATAGGTGGGCTCAGTGCCTGGCATACACTTACAACACTCAGTATTTGTGCTTTATCTCCTGTATGAACTAATTATAATTAACTGATGATTGTAATACCATTGGTTCCTATTTCTCAGCTTCATTGCTCTATTTCATTTGAAACTAAAGAATGAAAGATAAATGCCTGCCATCACCTAGAATTGGGTTTTGGCCTTCAAGGGAACCTGAGGTTATTAGCTTTGGAAGCCGGCCTGTAAATTACTCCTTTAATTTATATTTTTCATTAAAAGCTCAGCTTGCCTCTTCTTCTATAGGGGTCTTCTCTGGCCCTGAAACCCCAGTGTTTAGCCATAAAATAAGGTTTTAAAATTAAGTGTCCATAATTCTCTCAGCTCCCCACAAGGTGTGGATTAATGGAATTGATAAGAAGGTGCACAGGATGTTATTTTTAACGAAAGCAAAGGCCTGGCCCTATTTCTTATCTTTGAAACACAAATCAAGGAGATACTGCGATTGGAGTGTAGTGTATTTATTTATGTATGTGTAGAGCTTTACAAAAAAAACCTCGGTTTGGGTGTCAGGAAATCTGGGTCCTAAGCTCTTCATAGCTCTTCATCGCCACCAAGATGCTGTGACCTCTAACCCTCTGCACATTCGCTTTGTGACTTGCAGGTTGAACATTAGGTAAGTAAAGCGCCTAGTATCACGCCTGGCACACAGAACTGCCCCCCCCCCCCCCTTCCCCTGTCATGACAGGTAGTAGGTCTCTGAAAATGCATACCACTAGGATAATGAGAATGGGTACGCGCGCCAGTGAGAAGGGGCAACCACATCTCTACACCCACGGAAAAATGAGCATGGAAACAGAGTCGCGTTGCAGCTAAGACTACACTTCCCGCTGCCCTTTGCGGCCGGCTCGTTTGCCTTACCCAGAATCGCTCCCTCCGCAACCTTGCGTCTTTCCGCGGAGGCCCCGGATGTAGAATCCCTCCTTGCTCGATGGGCGTGGCCTGGCAGTGGCTCTGAGACCTGGGGCTCTCTTATTGGTTGTGGTCCTTCCGACTGGATTGGAAGTGAAGGAGGGGGCGTGGGCCAAGGCGCGCGGCGCTCTAGCGACAGCCAATCAGAAGCCTGGTCGGGCTTTGGCGGGAGGCGGTAAAGCTGCGGCTTTGCAGATTTGGCGCGAGTGCGGCTGGGCTTTACTGCAGCTGGTGTGTAGTTTATTCCGGAACTTGCCCTGAAGAATCTCAGAAGCATTGTGCGAGAGACGTGAGAAAGAGCCAACACTGAGGTACTCAGCTTTGTGAGGTGGAGAGGAGAGGATTGCTCGGGGAGGCCTAGGGCCCAGGAGGCAGCGGAGTTGGGAGAGCGGCTACGGCGAGGGCCGCTGCTTCCCCCTGAGGCTCGAGGTGAAGTGAGGGGAGAAGAGCTCAGATCGTCGGAGGTCTGGGGTCGGAGTAAGAGAAGGGAGTAGCTTGGCAGTCGTGCGTGGAATAAAGGGGCTGAATGTCGAAGGAGGGAGATGTTTCGGAGTGGGGTTGAGAAGGTGTGGCGTGAGGACTGAATGCAGGGTGGAGGGAAGACCGTATATATGTCAGGGTGCTGGGCCAACCTGGTGATAAAGACACACCCCGTGCCCGGAGTGAGGGAATTAGAAGTCCTGTAGAAGTCAGTTAAGATAAACTTTTTATTGCATCACTCAAGTGGTTAAGAATTTGGGCTCTGGAGCCAGAATGCCTGGCCTGCTATGACTTTGGGCTTTTGTGCCTCTGAGTTTTCTCCTCTGTAAAATAAGAATAGTAAGAGTGCCGACCTCTAGTGTGTAAAACTTAAATGAGTCAGTGCCTAAGGGGCCCCGAGCTGGCTCTGTCCGTAGAGCATGCGACTTGTGATCTCAGGGGTCATGAGTCGGAGCTCCACGCTGGGTGTAGAGATTCCTTAAAGTGAAAATAAAATGCTTATAACAGCGTCTTACACATAGTAGGTAAACAGCAAGTGTTTGTTATTATTGCTCAGATTTGGATGTGAAGTAGAACTGAATGCTAAAATATTGTTATCACATAATTATGAAATGTTGCTCATCGTTATAAATTCCATGTTAGCTACTTTTCCTTCATTTTTTACATATTGACAGATTGCCCTGTTCCCTTTTTTTGTACCCAGCCGTGTTGCCATCATGCCTCAAACCCGATCCCAGTCACAGGCTACAATCAGTTTTCCAAAAAAGAAGCTGTCTCGGACATTGGACAAAGCTAAAACTTCTGGTGACACCAAACTAGAACTGACCAATGTCCAGGCCTCACGCCATTCTTGTGTAAAAATTCTGCCTCTCAGCCCCAGAAAACGTCTTGGTAAGCTATCCATTATAGAAGTACAACTTTTTGCCTGGTAGCTCTTTGTTTGTTTAGTTTGAGAGAGAGAGAGAGAGAGAGAGAGAGAGAGAGAGAGAGAGAAAGCATGAGTGGGGGGAAGGGGCAGAGGGAGAGAGAGAATCTTAAGCAGGCACCACGCTCAGCACAGAGCCCCACTCGGGGTTTGATTCCCACCACCCTGGGATCATGATCTGAGCCCAAATCAAGAGTCGGGTGTTCAACTGATGGAGCCACCCAGGCGCCCTGTGACTGGTAGCTCTTGACCTCTCTTTCCTCAATAATAAGATGCCTAGTCCTTTGAAACAGCTTCCTAAGTTCATTTAAGACCACTGTGTTCTTAAACTAATTAAAAAAAAAAAAAGACCACTCTGTTCACTTTGGTTATTTTCAAAATAGTTGCTAAATTCATTTACTGAACTTCAGAGTTAAGCTCCGTGTTGAGGTCACTTTCTGAACTGCTTAACAGTTCTGGTATTCAGTTCCTTAATTTTGAACTTAGTCGTCAGTGTTTTAAATGACCTTGCAGTTATTTATATAGTATTTTGAAGCTTTCACCTCATTCATTAATGGTGAAATTAATAGAAGCAAAATAATAGAAGATTGTTTTAGAACAGTAGTTGGTAATCCTGTCTTGTTTTAGATCTTTTTTTGTTTTTTTGTTTTTAAATGAAGGGTGATATGGCAGTATCTAAAGACATTTTTGGTTGTCACAATTGAGGGAGTGGCATAGTGGATAAAGGCCAGGGATGCTGCTGAACATTCTACAATGCACAGGATAGCTCCCTACAAGAATTATTTGGTCCAAGATCTCAATGGTGCCAAGACTGACAAACCTTGTTTTAGAGCAATGTTAAAAATTTCATCCCACTAAACGCGTTTGCTTTCTGCCAAATAGTAGTAAGATTCAGTGTGCCATCTGGTGGCCAGTATTTGCTTCTAGATGAGAGGCATTTTATTTTGGTGGTTTTGATTATGGAAATTTGACTCTTGCTGAGAAAAGCAGAGATGTTCCAAGTCCTTTTACTATCCACTACTATGAATGACCATATTTTGATTTTAATATATTTCAGGTGATGATAATCTGTGCAACACTCCCCATTTGCCACCCTGTTCTCCACCAAAACAAGGCAAGAAAGAGAATGGCCCCCCTCGCTTCCATACACCTAAGGGGCGCAGATTGGTGTTTGACAATCAGCTGACAATTAAGTCTCCTAGCAAAAGAGAACAAGCCAGAGTTCACCAAAACAAAATACATTCCTCAGTTCGAAAAGGTCAAGAGATTACAACAAATTCTGAGCAGAGATGTCCACTGGAGAAAGAATCTGCATGTATGAGACTGTTCAAGCAAGAAGGTTTGTTCTTACATGTCAGCTGTTAGTACAGCCTCATAAACAAGCTGGTGACTCCAGATGAAACCCAGTGGATTTTCTTAGTCTCCTCTGTTGTATCTAATTGTCCTTTCACGTTTGACACAGGCACTTGCTACCAGCAAGCAAAGCTGGTCCTGAATACAGCTGTCCCAGATCGGCTGCCTGCCAGGGAAAAGGAGATGAATGTCATCAGGAATTTCCTGAGGGAGCACATCTGTGGGAAAAAAGCTGGAAGTCTTTATCTTTCTGGTCCTCCTGGAACTGGAAAAACTGCCTGTTTAAGCCGAATTCTGCAAGACCTCAAGGTACACTGAAAGTCTGAAATATGAAGCTCTTGCTAAAATGACACTTGGTTATTAAGGGTTAAGAAAAAGTAGACATGCTTAGGAGATTGAAGTCTTCCCTCAAATAAGATGTTTTTAGTTTCATTGTCTAAATCTTTCTTTCTTTTTTTTTTTTTTTTTAATTTTTTTTTTAACGTTTATTTATTTTTGAGACAGAGAGAGACAGAGCATGAACGGGGGAGGGTCAGAGAGAGAGGGAGACACAGAATCCGAAACAGGCTCCAGGCTCTGAGCTGTCAGCACAGAGCCCAACGCGGGGCTCGAACTCACGGACCGCGAGATCATGACCTGAGCTGAAGTCAGCCGCTTAACCGACTGAGCCACCCAGGCGCCCCATCATTGTCTCAATCTTTCTAAATGAAAGTAGAACTTATTCTCTTACATGCATTTAACTCCTCAAAGACGCTTTAGGTCCCATCAAACCTTTATCTGAGGGCAAAATATCTCTCATGTTTGCATTTTTCTAGAAGGAACTGAAAGGCTTTAAAACTATCATGCTGAATTGCATGTCCTTGAGGACTGCCCAGGCTGTATTCCCAGCTATTGCTCAGGAGATTTGTCAGGAAGAAGTATGCAGGCCAGCTGGGAAGGACATGATGAAGAAACTGGAAAACCATATGACTGCAGAGAAGGGCCCCATGATGTAAGTATTGCTCTGCTGCATGTTGTTCTATAAAAATCTGCAAGGTCTGTTGCCCACAAACTCATATTCTAGTCTCTTGAATTTATCAGTTTGTATAAAAAAAGAACATTTCCTATATTTGCTGTACAAGAGGCAGTTACATATGCTTAAAGGGAAAGAAGAGAGGAAAAATACATGTTCTAATTTTAAATTGGAAAAAATGTTTTTAAACTAATTGCTTGAAAAACCTGTATGTTACTTTTATGTGATGGTGGGGGGTTATCATTGTAACAGTGACTGGAGAGAGGACAGCTTATGACCTCCAAACTGGTGTCAGCTGTAGGAATGTGACTTGAGTCAGCCCAGATATCACAGATTGGAGAGTTAAGGTGAACATGGATACTAATCACTTCTCTTTATATGTAGTGTGTTGGTGTTGGACGAGGTGGATCAGCTGGACAGCAAAGGGCAGGATGTGTTGTACACGCTGTTCGAATGGCCATGGTTAAGCAATTCTCGATTGGTGCTGATTGGTTAGTGTTCAGTTGCTAATGTTACAGGACGGTTCTAAAGAATTCTTTTTTAATCGCTTCATCTTATCTATCACCTATTTTATATCAAGCCAGCTTTCTGCTTTCTTATCAAAATGAAAGTTACTACAAAATAATAGTAGTTTTAACCTAAAAATCAGTTTTGTGAAGTCTGAATAGAAATGCTATAATACTTCATTTCAGAGACCGCTGATTTTTGGACTATCTGGTCCTATTTATTAGTGAACAATTCTAAACCTAACTTGAACAGAGCATTCTAAGGTGACTGTGTACATCTTACCTAATAAGTATGGGTGGAGGGTGGGTGGCAAGTGAGAAGCAACAGTTAGAATGCTGGATTATAACTAGAAATCTTGTCCAGCTTTCAAAGGGTTTAGTTTTCCTTATAGGTGATTTGACCGTGATGATTGGTAGTATTTATCTCCTCAGGTATTGCTAATACCCTGGATCTCACGGACAGAATTCTGCCGAGGCTTCAAGCTAGAGAAAAATGTAAGCCACAGCTGTTGAACTTCCCACCTTATACCAAAAATCAGATAGCTGCTATCTTGCAGGATCGGCTTGATCTGGTAAGTCCCACCTACTGTACCACATTATGTATCCCTTGGATCAGCTCTGGAGGGGAAGCCTAACAGTCATTCTAAAATATTTTTGCTTAGATTGCTTTCCTTAGCAGGGAGTTCTGGTGGGCCATAGTGAGAACATTTTTATATGAATTTCCACCCAAGGCTCCGTTTATTGGGTGCCTCAGTGTTGGAATAAAAATAAGAGAAGAATCACTCAATACTGTTTTTTCCTCTTTTTTTTTCAAGTTTATGTATTTGTAGTAATCTCTACACCCAATGTGGAGCTCAGACTCATGACCCTAAGATCATGCTCTTCTGAGTGAGCCAGCCAAGTGCCCTTAATCCTTTAAAAGAAATTTTTTTAATGTTTATCTATTATTGAGAGACAGAGCATGAGCATGGGCGGGGCAGAGAGAGGAGGAGACACAGACTCTGAAGCAGGCTCCAGGCTCTGAGCTGCCAGCACAGAGTCTGTTGTGGGACTCGAACTCACACAAACCTCGAGATATGACCTGAGCAGAAGTCGGATGCTCAACCGGCTGAGCCACCCAGGTGCCCTGCCCCTCAATCCTTTTTAAATGGCCTTTAAAAATAGGGCCTATGAAAAAAACTTTCTCTTGAAAATGACCAAATAGATTTTATTTTAGTTTAGTTTGCTCATTTCTGATTGCTTTTTTTCCCCATTCATGAACCTCAAGTACATGCTGACAGAATGCTTCAATGTGTGAAATTTCCGTTTACTTTATGAGAAAAAAAGGCATCTCTTAGATCCTAAAGGGTGGCCAGTCAAGTTTAGACTTAACATGAAAATATGTATATCAGGGACCTAAATTACAGAGAGGGGGAATATTATACTTCATGTTGTCATCCCCTGTGTCTTGTCCAAAGGTATCTAGAGATCAGGTTCTGGACAATGCTGCAATTCAATTCTGTGCCCGAAAAGTCTCTGCTGTTTCAGGAGATGTTCGAAAAGCACTAGATGTTTGCAGGTGAGTTATGGCACTGTCGGCTACTTTTATTAAAAAAAGAAATGATGTTAATTGTCTCATGTAACTCAAGTGAATGTGGCTTAAGAGGCTGCATTCTGCCACTTTTTACACTCAGAAAGGAGGACTTGTTTCTCAGTGGGGAGCTCTGCATTTCCACCGTGTTAATGTCTGAAACATTATCAGTCCATTACCTACAGAGGGAGAAACAAATGAGATGTTGCTGGCACTCCCTGTGGTGATTATAGATTGGTTAATTACATTTGTATTAAAAAAGACTCCAGTTTACTTTTCCATTAGCTGGTCTCAAGCAGGTTTATTTATGGACCTGAACCATCTTTGCCTTTAGACTTTTTTTTCCTTCCTTTCCTTTTGTGAGCACCCCTTCCTCCTGTTGGTGGTCCCCCACAGTTGTACTCTAGACCTCTCTCTCCCTTCCCATCCTCTGCCCCTCCTGCTGGGGAAAGCCTCTGTGCTGACTGATGAAATTTCTTCCTTCCCAGTAGGGACACTGGGTCCATTAAAATGATACTTGCTGTGTTGGCCCGCTGGTCCAACCTCCCCCTACTGCCATGCAAAAGATCCAGGCCTGGCTTATGGCTTCCTGTGGGCAAAGTACTTTGGAGACAGCAGTGGGAGAGTAAGCTCTGCCTATTGCTAGATGGCATGATCCTGGATTTGAAAGTTTCCCCTAGTCAGCAAACTAGTTGGGTAAAGACTGCAACTATGAGCAATTGTCATGTAGGCTGGTGTGGTTTAGCCTACATGTATCATATGTATATGTAGCCAAGGACTCCCTTTTAGCTCCAGTGCGTATGGGTGGTACTGGCTCTCTGTAGTCAGTCACCCACCCACATATCCTCTCTCCTATCCATGACATTTTTTCCTTGTTCAGAATGTTATTATTGGCCACATGTATGATGACCTACTTGGCATCTATAAGAGGAAACCATATAGTGTTGAAGTTTCTCAGATTCCCTGGTCCATGAAATTATTTCAAGGCAATTAAGTCCCCTTTAGCTGAGACATAACCCAGCTTCATTTAGGGGCTTTGAAATTATAAAACATGTGTCTGTTTTTGAGCTTGGTGGTTTGGTGTGGTGTTTGGTTTGGCTCAGCCTAAATTAATTTTAGAAATATTTTTTTATAGGAGAGCTATTGAAATTGTAGAGTCGGATGTCAAAAGCCAGACTATCCTCAAACCGCTGTCTGAATGTAAGTAGTTTATCTCCTTCCCGTCTTCCTTTATAATTGGAAGCTTAACTTTTCTGAGGAAAGGGGTAGAAAGATGAAATGAACACAGTTAAATCCACACTTATCCTGTTCTGTATTTCTGTTTTTGGTCAATTTCATCTACTTTACTTGAGTCTGGCCTGTCAGTACTGTAGTCCATGCATTGTTGGAAATGAGCTCCCCAGGGTGTTACAGAAATGGCTGGGTCATAGTAAGTTTTCTTTCTAAACTCTAGAAATGAAAATTGTAGACAATAAGGCTTGCCCAGCTTCTCTCTGGGTTCTTGTGTTGAGCGCACTTTAGGTCTTGATATAGGTGAAAAGAAAGCCCAGTAAATAAGAGTCAGACAGTGAGAGAATCTAGTTCAACTTGGGATATCTCAGGCCTTTACACATGTGTAGGAGGGTGAAGATACAAACATGATATTGCTACAGTGGGCTGTTAGAAAAATGACAAAATTAATTTTCCTTTCCGTTAGCTTTGTTCTCTTAGTCATGGCGGATGTAAAATGGCCCTGAACTACGGATCTTGTCAGTATTTTAATATCCAGTGTTAATCTTTAGAAACAAGACAGTCCGATTTGATTGTTTCCTCTTTCACTCTTGCAGTGATTGAGAGTTATCAAAATTGTTTCTAGCACTATAGTTCCATAGAAAACTCACTTTCTTTTCTTCCCTTCCCTTCCCTCTTCTCCCTTCCCTCTTTTCTTTTCTTTTCTTTTCTTTTCTTTTTTCTTTTCTTTTCTTTTCTTTTCTTTTCTTTTCTTTTCTCTTCTCTCTTCTTTTCTTTTCCTTTCCTTTCTTTTTTCTTCTTTCCTCTTCTCTTCTCTTCTCTTCTCTTCTTTTCTTTTCTTTTCTTTT